GGCCCCCCCCCCCCCCTGTGCTAGGGGCCCAGGCCAGAAAATTGGTACCAGGGCCCGAGATGGGATGTGGCGGGCCTGCCCAAGGTACACAAATTTTTCAGCTATGATACATTGTTTCCAAAAAATGTAAAATGGCTTTTACGGCGTTTTTGCGTTGCACGGCAGTTTAATAGTAGTATATGAACTAATGATTATCGGTCTGTGAACCATACTGTTGTAGCTCGCACCATAGTATGGCATATATACCATAACTAAGGTGTATGTAATATTATTATATGTTGCCTTCACTACTAATAGTGGTGTTTATCTATATGAACCACTAATTGGTTTATAAGCCATAGATTTTTCTCCATGTGGGAGTCGCAAAGCTCCAAAGAGCGCTGTGAAAGCGGCTTTTATGTATGTATATTCTGCGACATTTTTATTTTAGTCTAAATAATGTGGAGACTAGTGTGTGTTAGTTGACGTTAAGACTGTCAATGAGAAAAAAATGTGATTCGACAATTGCTGTTATATTATAGCGCCGATGAAAACAACGGGGTACTCTAAATTAGACTCTTATTTGAAAGCACTCAACTGCGGAATCAGCTTGAACGTTAAGGTGTGACAGGGCACGCATTGTAGATGCTCCGGCCAGTGAAGCTCTTGTTAGAATCAAAGTTGTTGCCTCTCGGTAATATTTTGTAACTTAAATACTTTCTAAATCATCACATGAGTGAAATCCTCTGATATTAGAACGTGCACAGAGTACAGGGCCGGATTTAGGGGGTGGCCACATGGGCCGTGGCCCATGACGGCAAATTTTGAAATTTTTTTCAGATGTAGGTATAAAAAAAATCGGATTCAGATAAAAAATTACGAACTAGAAAAGGCCATAAAGTCTCTCATTTCCTGAGAGTAAAGGTATGGCAATTTCTAATTTTGTCGTCTTTCGGTGATGCAAGAAATAGCACCTTTAATTAGTCGAGTTAAGAGAGAAACCAAACACGCAATTTGGCCTGGAATGGCGCGCCGCAGAGAGCAATGATAACAAAGACTTCACATGAAAAGGAGAAGCCCTCGACGCGGCGGTCGGCACGTAACACGTATTAGCGCCTACAAAACTGCATGGATACTACACGCATTGCGTCAAACACAGTGCGGTTTGCAGCGGTCGGCGTGAGACGCATAAGCGGCTACAAGACTGTATGAATACTTCACACATTGCGCAAAACATAGTGAAGTCAGCGCGGCGCGGCGGCGGAGGTTAAGATTATAAAACCCCATTTATGTTTGTTCCTTCATAATTTTTTCGTTCATTTCTTATGCATGGAAGGCGTTGTCCACACAGCGATAGGTTTACGAGACTTAACTTTCGCGCAAAGTTCCGTGAACTTTTGCTTGTAGTGTTGACAGGGCTTTCGCAAAAAATGTGTCTATCACGATTTAACGCGCCTTATGCACCCCTCTCCTCCCCCTCCGGCATGTTCACTTGATGGTTTTTATTGATGTTTCAAAACGAATGAGAAGGGGGCAGCAAAATACAGGCGGCCCATGGGCGGCAAGTAGGTAAATCCGGCCCTGACGGAGTAATTGGAATTGATTGTAAAAATTGATATTAAAAACTGTAATGTAATTTGTAACTCATCTTTATGGCCACAAGCATCTTTTCAACAGGAAGTAGCAACAGTACCCTCAGCCAAAAATATACCCGCGGGTAATTTCAGCGCGTCTCGTTCCGCGGTCTGGATCAGAGTACCTGTGGGAGGAGGGGGGTGGACATTTCAAAACACCAAAGTCTAAAAGCTCAAAAAGGCGGATAATTCTCCCACATGAGGAAGAGTGTAAAAATGCCACCGCCATTCTTCACATTATTTTAAGTGTCAAAACAAAACGGTCAAAAGCTCAAAAATGTCTATTTAATTTTATGAGCATTCTTCCGCAAAACTGACGAACATACATTAAGGAAGTCTATAATGTGTGCTCTAATAACTTTTGAAACGTCGACCATGGGCGTACGAAGGAGACTCTAAGGAGGCTGCCCCCCCCCCTCAGAATTGAAAATAGTATCATCTGCCTCCCCTCCCCGGAAATTCTGGGTGGTGGGAAAAAAACCTTCGTCGAGGATGATCATCGCTCTTTGAAAAAACCAAGTTCATTTAGTTAGTATTTTCTAAAATTTATCATGAAAGCCTCAAAATGCGTCCAAACATATTTAAAATTTTAAAAATTTCCCGGGGGAGACCCCTGGAGCCACCCTGGTGAGGGGACCACATCCCCCTAGGAAAACGACCTATGTACGCCTGTGACGAGAACGGGTAGTAATAAATCCAATAATAAGTGATTCTGGATAGTATAAACATAGACAACGAATATGTTTCCGCATTTTTCCTATTCTTTTAAAAAAGCCTCTTATGATCTGGATTAATTTATGCGCACATGCAAAAGAAAGCTCCGCACCTGCCTAAGAGAAAATTTAAAATGTTCGGGTCAGCTCAGACTCACGAAAATAATGTAGTTTCCTTCTCTTTTAACGCATCACTCGGAGAAAAGTCGGAAAATGATGGAAAAGAGGCGAGAAATCGCACCGATAAGCGCATTCATTCTCCGCAGCGTCTTTTCAGCTGTGAGATACGCGAGCATTTCTCGGCGAAGACCTTGACTTGGGTCCCCACCGTGAGTTTTAAGCAGGTGTATCGGCCCAATTTCCGCGCAGCTATAAGAGCCGCTGAGCTTTCTCCGGGCTCTCCACACCCTTGGAACCATCGACATTCGATGACATTGGCCGGGCGACGAGATGAAGTTGGTCTGGTGTTTATTCCTCACGGTTGGCGTGTGCCTGCTGTGGTCTCAGGCGCAGGCCGAAGAGCGGGGTAACTGCGGGGGCTGCTATGTACCGCTGGATTTGGCAGTTGGATTGACTTTGGACATCACAGGACTGCTTAAGGTCATTGGGGCCCTCCTCGTCGCGGCAGTGGCGGCGTTCATCGGCCCGATAGTGGCGCTCCTGGTGGCTTTTCTCCTCCCGTATCTCCTTCCGGCGCTCATCTCTGCGTTTTTACCTGCGTTCCTTGCTGCTTTCCTCACACCCGTCGTTGTCTTCATCATCGCATTCCTCGTCCCCAATGCTGTCTACGTACTCCTCGGGCCTCTAATCGCTGCTCTCATCCCTATATTGCTATCCGTCTTTGTCTCCATCTTCATTCCCAAGATCGTAGTGATCTTAGTGATTGAGTTGCTCCCCAAGTTGTGCAACTGCTTACTTCTTAAATTGCTAGCCGCGCTTTTGGCGATTCTTCCGAGTCTCATCATTGCCATCCTCAGACTTCCAATTGTTATGAGTGCTATCATTGAATTCCTCAAGAATATTCTCCTTAGTCCGGAGCTACAGGAACCACTTATCGGACTACTGACTCTCATTCTCCAGAGGGTGCTCCAGGCTGCTTGTGCCAGCCAGGGTGGTATTGAGACCTAGGAATAGTGAGATTGAGTAGCATCATTTATATGATAATTTTTTAAAATAAACATTTAAAAAAACCATTTGACCCTTTTTACATAATTAGAACATGTTTCGGCGTTTTCCTTTGGTTATAGGCCTGCAAAACGCGATGGGCTCTTCAGGCTAAACTTCGAAGGAAGAAACCAGTAGTGGTAGTAATATTTGTTTTTTGGGTTTTTTTTTTTTTTAAAGCGGCGTCTTAGAAATTATGGTCACTGACACCTCCGTAGTTAGATTCATCGATTAGGGTAGGAAGTAGTCGTATTAATATAAGTTCATTTTGAATCGGTGCCTTAGCATCTGTGGCCGTTACCTGTTACAGGGTTTGTTACAAAAAAGGGGACAAAATTTGAAGGTAGAATAAAAAAGACGAGAACGTAAAATTTAGAGGATTAAAAGAATGATCTATTCAAATAGCGTAGTAATGAATAGAAAAAAGAGCATGGGAATGGAATATTTAATAATGGGGAAATGAAATGAAAAATTAAATAAATACCTAAATAAGTAGTAGTAGTAATGTACATTTATTTTAAAATGGTAATCTAGCATCTATGGCCATTAACACCTATGTGATTAGAAAGTAGTAGTAGTAAGATAATAGTCTATTTTAAAGCGGTGCTTTAGCATCTAAGGCCATTTACACCTCTGTGTGTTTACATGGAAATCAAGGAAAGAAAGAAAGTAGTAGTAGTAAAATAATTTTATTTTAAAGCGGTGCTTTAGTATCTAAGGCCATTTACACCTCTAAAGAAGGCAGTAAAAGAAAGGAAGGAAGAAAGAAAGAAAGGAAGGAAGAAAGGAAGAAAGAAAGGAAGAGAAAGTTAATCTTTTCAGTCTATTGAGGTTTGATGAAATATTTCCGAAAATGTTTTTCGTTCAAGTGTAATGAAGGTAATAAAGAATGAACAAATAAACAAAGCTACGGATGATGAGGAAGCTCCAGGAAACTGAATACTCACACAAAAATTGAAAAATTAAAAAGTCCCCAAAATCTTACACGGACAAATACAGGGTGATCCAAAAGTCCCTTCCACCCCCTCTAACTTTTTACCTAATTGAGGTAAAGATTTGAAACTTGGGGGATACTCCTAGGTCAAAGGGAGCTACTTTTTGGCCCCCCTAAAATTTTCAGGGGGGCCCCCCTTGGGGGGGCAACGGCCCCCAACTTTTAATTTTCAAATGGGAAGACCCCCTTTGTGATAGCTCGTTCGAAAGAGCATAAAAAAAGAAAACTTTTCGCGCAAACCCGAAGTCAATATCTCAAACCGTTTCAAAATGGCGGCCGGTTAAAGTTCAAAATGGCCGAAAATTCACACCGGTTATTTGTCGATGGATTTGCGCGAAAATCGGAATGTAGAGGTATTTTGACACGAGAAAAACGAATTTGACGTTAGATTTTCAAAAAAACCAAAATTTACAAAATGGCCGTCGGTTGAAGTTTAAAATTGCCGAAAATTTTCACCTCGGTTTTTTCCTGATAGATTTGCCTAGAACTTGGAATTTGAGAGTATTTTGGCAGAAGATAAACAAATTTGAACTTAAATTTCTAAAAAAAATCAATTTTTGGTCATTTTGAACTTTAACCGGCGGCCATTTTGGAAATTTTGGTTTTTTTGAAAATCTAACGTCAAATTCGTTTTTCTCGTGTCAAAATACCTCTACATACCGATTTTCGCGCAAATCCATCGACAAATAACCGGTGTGAATTTTCGGCCATTTTGAACTTTAACCGGCCGCCATTTTGAAACGGTTTGAGATATTGACTTCGGGTTTGCGCGAAAAGTTTTCTTTTTTTATGCTCTTTCGAACGAGCTATCACAAAAGGGGTCTTCCCATTTGAAAATTAAAAGTTGGGGGCCGTTGCCCCCCCAAGGGGGGCCCCCCTGAAAATTTTAGGGGGGCCAAAAAGTAGCTCCCTTTGACCTAGGAGTATCCCCCAAGTTTCAAGTCTTTATCTCAATTAGGTAAAAAGTTAGAGGGGGTGGAAGGGACTTTTGGATCACCCTGTATAGGCGCAGGCGCACCAGTCGATTCGAGAGAGAGAGAGCTGTCATGTTTTCGTGTGATCATATCTCAATAACAAAACTAAACAATTTCATGATAAAGAGAACAATGGAGCTTGAGTAGTCACTACACGGCCAGGGCGGCGAGTAGAACGTGTGGCAGCCAATGAGAGGTCAGCGCAAGACGCATTGCTCCCACTGAGCTAGGGTGGAAAGTAAACCACCAACCAGAGGGAACAGTGCGTCTTGCGCTAACCCCTCATTGGTCACCGCACCTGACCGCCGGGGCCATGACACCAACGAGTGGTGTGGCAGCCAATGACGGATGAGCGTAAGACCCACTGCTCCCACTGGATGGTGGTTGGCTACCGCCACACAAAGTTTCCTCCATTAGAATAATTATACGTGTATTGGGTATTTTATAAGCTGCAAAGCAAATAGTCCCTCTACACCTTCGAAAAGTCACGTTACATTCTTATTTCACAGTTATACGCGGTAGTTATACTTGTGTGTGATAGATAGGTGCCCCATGTGGGAACTGATACCAACGATAAATCGAAAATTTTAAAATAAAGTGTAAATGTATAATTAAAGTTCACTCATTGCGCAGGAATGAATACTTAGAAAATCTTCCTTTAATGGATTTTGTTTTTCTTTTTTACCCTGTATTCACAAGTTTAGGAAAAACTTCACCGCTCGGGAAAAACCAAGCACCCACAGTGCATTAGAAATTTGAAAATGAAATAAGAGTATACCCTGCATAATCAGATTCCTTACGCAATGAGAAACTTTAAGAAAAGTTCCTTTTTAATTGTTTCTGGATGGTGTCATTATTCGTAATCAGTTAAGAACTTGGCTGGGTTCTTCATTTGTCGAAAGAAAAGAAGCACCAGTTAAAAAGTGAAAGATTCTAAAAAGAAAATACGAGTTGATCGCTCGTACCATAATTCCAATCCGAGGGAGAAATTTTAGGAAAAGCTATCATTGCTATTAATTTTTGACCCCTTTTCACCACAGACATCCCGCAGTCTGGGAGAGGAGGGAAACTGGGAGTATATGCCGATGATACGCTCGTGCTAGCAGCGTCGAAAAGTTACAGGGAGGCTCGTTTTAATGCTCAATCCCACTTAAATAGAATAAATAAATGGACCAACAAAGATAAGACTAAATTAAATGCGTCAAAGTCGGTAGAAATTGTTTTCACCAACAGACCTTTTAACCATATCCCCCTTCATCTTGGAAACTCTGAAATTCCCCGCGACACAGTCGCCCGTTATTTAGGCCTCCATCTGGATTCCAGGCTCAAATGGGGTGCACACATAAAGAAAAAAGTCGAGCAAATAAGACTTAAGTTTCACGATATGCAGTGGCTGATAGGCCGCAAATCCAAGCTACCCTTAGAAACCAAATTGCTCCTCTACAAGTCAATGTTGAGACCGGTTTGGCGCTATGGATGCCAGTTGTGGGGCTGCGCATCCAAATCAAATATTCAAAAAATAGAAACCATCCAAATGAAAATTTTACGAAGTATTTCAAAAGCCAGATGGTACGAGAGAAACGTGGATATTCGCGCCGATCTCAACATTGACTCTGTGGAGGACTACATAACAAAAATGTACAACTCTTATGAGAACAGATTGCATTGGCATCCCAATCCTGAAGCACTCGCACTTCTGGATAGGGACCGATGCATTCGAAGATTAAAACGTCGCAAACCCCATGAGCTTGGAATCCAGGGGTTCTCAAAATTCTCAATCTTTTAAATTAATGAGCCTCCCTGCGATTTTCGAACGCAATCAAAGGTTCTTGGGTCTTTGACCGATCTCGGTCTTCCGCTTGTCAAACTAAATCAAAAAGACAGTTTTACTTTGAAGCAAAATTGTTTTTATTTTTCTCTTCATTATATAGAAAGTGTTTATCGCATATTATTTATATTTTTAGTATGCTTTTTGTTACTTAATTAAGACAAATTTTTGTAACATATTATAAGTTTATCTTATAAGCTAAATTTAAGTTTTTCAAAGATGTATTTACATCTAAAAACTATTTTTGTACATATTATATTTTGTGCAAATAAAAAAAAAAAAAAAAAAAAAAAAATTTTTGACAGATAATTTACCAGTTGTACGCTTGTTACTGAAGCTTTGATAACTAATAGTTGAATCATTCCAAATGGCAAACAAATACAGATTTTTTCGAATGTCCATTTGGTTCTGCTCAATATTAAGGAGGTATAATCCCTTGAAAATTGCTGTGAAAGACGTCATCGTAGACATAGAGGTTTGCCATTTGGAGAACCGAGTTTGATAGGTGTAAGTACTTTCTTAATGCTTGTTGTTGTATAGGCATATTGCTCAAAATAACTTAGATGAGAGACCTCAATTTTATTTTAGGAAGTTCAAGTATCTCCCAAACGCAAAACTTAAACCTATAGGATTTGCTCCAGCTTTACTTTCCCCTAATACATTGGAATTGAAACTTATTAAAGCAATTACATATAATTAACAATTAAAACATGGCAAAATAGCAGAAGTTTAGTGTTTCTTATCGTCAGATGCATTAGCGTGTAAATTAACACAATAATGTTTATTTCTCTGTTTTCTTGTTTCTTCTTTTCTTGAAAGTTTAGAAATTTTGCGACACAAAAAGGCTTCCTGTGAGTTCCTGAGGAGGTGCCTAACTCATGTTTGTGGCTTTGTATGCTCTCGAAGTTCGTCTTAGTTCATTTTTCCTGTCTTTGTTCTCATATTCTTTTTTTTCTTTTTTTTTTAAATGAACATTTTTATGAGTAAAAAAAAGACAAAATGAGGACACCTTATTTCATATACTTATTTGAACACTAAAGAGGGTGAAGGGAGATGTTTAAACTCAATATCATTCTGTGGCTCGATCATTTCTCATTTGCTGAGCGACTCTAGGATTTTATCATAATGAGGTAGCTATCAACTCCTAATTTCATGAATTACCTACATAATGATCAGAGAAAAACTTTCAATCAACTCAAAACACAATTCCGGTGATTTTTTATGGATCTTTATTACTTTGTAGCAAACTAAATTGCAAAAATGTTGAGTTTAAAAAAAAAAAAATCCATTTAAAGAATAATTAGCGGAGGTGTATGGACGGTGACGTTCAAATAGTCATTAGTAGTCATCAGACGCTCCCTCCTTGTCCAGAAAGTCATCCGTGAATAGATTAAGCTGCTTGTGAAAAAGCATCTTCAAAGCTGAAATTATCGAAGGTCAGCGAGAGGTCGAGCGTGACTTTGACTGGCAGCTTGATCTTGCAGGTGGAATCGCAGGAGGCCAGTTCACCGAGCTTCCCTGAGGTGAAGAGGGACAAAAGCTCGAAGACGGCCGAGGGGGCTATGTTGTACCCGGTGAAGGGTTGGCATACACATGGCAACTCCCCGCACGTCCCACAGGTCGCCTGCACACCGCTCAGTAGGCAACCCGCAACTACGGCCACCAAAACCACCTTCCACGTTCTCATGGTTGCAACTGAATCGAGGGCTCGACCATGAGCTCTTATAACTGCGTTCTCTCCGGTGATATGCGTTTTTTTTTGTGGAGGATTGCACGCGTGGCTCTTAAGTTTGCGGTCTCACTCACACGTGGAGTACGAACGTGATAACAATTGAGTCAAGGTGTGAGATGCTCGGTCGAGCTTTGTTTTGATTCCGTGGAGTCCACCTGAGCGGGCTGATAGTTGAAATTGATAGACAAAGCGATAGACAAAGAATACTTAAGGAGGATGGACGACCCTATTGGTTGGAATGGGTGGCTCCTGTAGACCACGGGAGAAAATGATGGACAAACTATATCGGGTCTCCTGTGGGTTGTCGTTAGTCAGTCTATTACCCACCTCCTTTGTCCATTGCAATCACCCGGTTCCATCAATAGGATCCCTCCATATCCATGTTGTCTTCTTTGTCTATGGCTCTGTCTGCCGTGAATATTAGCCACATGTTTCTTTTAATTGGCCACAATCGGTTCGTTGGATGGCATATATGTAATTTGTCATTTTCTCTAGAAGAATTAGTTGCATGAGATCACATTTATGTTATTCGGTTTTTAAATCAATTTATTAACCCGTCCTTAAATTAACAAGACAGCCTTCATGGAAATTAATCAAACCACCCAAAAACAACAAAAGTAGATTTTTTTTCTTTTACAGTCTTTGTGGTCTACCAAAATTAAATTTTAAATGTATTTTCCTCAAGACACTTTTCTTCAGCTATAGGTGTTTTTCCATTGAGAGCACCAATTACTTGTTGAAAAAAACTTAAGGATGTTCCTCATAAGAACCGAAAATCTCGAGAGATCTTTTTACCTATCTTGTCTATCTAAACCTATCCTGACAAGGCTGCTGAGCAATTGCATATAGACGATGAGACTATCAGACTCCGTATCTCGTTTTCAATGTTTAAGGATCTCCGATTTTATTTTATTTTTTTGAAGGAGAACAAATCTATATCATTCATGGAATTTTTCACAGAATTTTCGTCACGAGGAGGAGAAAAAACCCGGAATTTTTCCAGAATTGACGTTCAGTAGTTTTTCATATAAAAAATAAAGAATGACAGGAAGTCTGGAACGTCGCGAACAGAGATACGTGGTCTGGTAGTTTCAACATCGATATTCAGCAAATACAGCAATTTAAGTATACATATTTGCTTAATGCTTATAGATGCTTTTCATTTGATAAAGTTGATTGTTTGAGGGCTTCGAAAAATATTGCAAATCGAATCGATGTATGCTTTAAAAATCTTGAAAAACTCTCCCTTCGTTCCTCTCCCACTTGAGAGAGGAGCCGATGGAGTCGAAAACAGGGCCGGATTAAGGGGGTGGCCACATGGGCCGCGGCCCATGGCGGCAAATCTATAGGAGGCGGCAAATTTTGCATTTTTTTTAAATGTAGGTATAAAAAAAATTCGGATTTAGAAAAAAAAATTACAAACGAGAAAAGGCAACAAGATCTCTAATTTTCTAAGTTTATAGTAATTTCTACTTTTGTGTCGCCTTATAGTGATACAAGAGGCAGCACCTTTAATTAGTCGAGTTGAAGAGAGAAACCAAACAGGCAATTTGGCCTAGAGCGGCGCGACTTAGAGAGAAATGATGACGAGGACTTGAGATGAAAAGGAGAAGCCCTCGGCGCGGCGATCGGCATGTAAGACATATTAGCGCCTACAAGACTACACGAATACTTCACGCATTGCATCAAACACGGTGCGGTCATTGCGGACAGCGTGAAACGGATAGCGCTTACAAGAAAACATGAATACCTTACGCATTGCGGCAAACGCAGTGCGATCAGCGGGAGACGCATAGCGCCTACAAGACTGCGTGAATACTTCACGCATTGCGTCAAACACAGTGCGGTCTCAGAGCGCGGCGGCGGAAGTTAAAATCATTAATTCACATTTATGTTTGTTCTTTCATAATTTTTTCGTCCATTTCTTATGAATGGAAGGCCTTGTCCACACAGAGATATGTTTACAAAACTTAACTTTCGCGCAAAGTTCCGCGAACTTTTGCTAGTAGTGTTGACCCAAAAGTAGTAGGCTTTCCCAAAAAATGTGTTAAACACCAGTAAACGCGTCTTATGCACCCCTCCCCCACTGGTACGTTCATTTGATGGTTTTCTTTGATGTTTCAAAACGAATGAGAAGGGGGCGGCAAAATACTAGCGGCCCATGGGCGGCAAGCAGGTAAATCCGGCCCTGGTTGAAAATTGTCAATTTGAAAAAGATCTTTTGTGGTGAAGATGTGTACACTCCCAAAATTTAATAGGTACTTGAAAATTTTGAGCAAACTCTAATTCTTCGAGATAGTAACTTTACTTGAACTTACTTCTGCGCTTGGCAATGCATACGTATCAGATTTGTCCAAAAAGCAACAATAGGTTAATTACTTCAGAATCCTATTCAGTTCGTGATGAGTTGTCATTATTTGCCATTACCATTTTTTCTCTCTTGGGAGCCAACTAAATAGATAGGATACCTACTGAGCTTTGTTTCCAATTTTGTTTTCTCCCCGATGAAGAAAACTGAAAAACAAATAAGGATAGTGCTGCGATGTTTCCTAAAAATGAAACAAGAAAAAATGAGCAGATATCAACAATAGGGCATTATGCTGCTGACGCAGCAAATTCTGAGGAGCATATAAAGTAATATTTTTGAAGATCAGCAGATTTCTTCCTGATTCAATGGCACAATGACGTCTTCTCTTCATCCAAAACGTGAAAATTAGGACGCGTTTCGTCTTAGGTCTTACATACATCTGGCACATTTTCTACGAAATTAGATTCCCGTAGCTTTACTTCTTTCATATTTTCTCGAGAGAGTTGACAGATAAGAGAATCTCCAGGTATTTGAAGTCACTGAGCATTTACAGGAAATCATATAAAATTGGTAACTTTCTAAGAATGTACAGAAAATAAATATTGCAGCACCAACCGATCTCATTCATGACTTGAAACCGATTAGATTTGAGGGTCAGACTTATGCTCTAGATTGTCGATTACTCAGAAATGAATACCACTATTGGTCAAAACAAACGTGACTCGATTTACAAGCAAGAGCAAGGAAACATAAAATTTTCACGATGACAGTGCTATTTCCAGATTTTACAGTTTGTTTTTGTTGTATTTTAATTTTACAATGAAAACCATCGACTCAGTTGAGCAAAAAACAAAAGATGGTTTTGAAAGAGGGAAGAATAACGTGTAAACATTGAAATAGTATTGCGATGATTCGTTTTTCTGCATTAAATGAAAATTGGTATTTAGTATGTTCTATAGTATGGGGTGACTATGTTTTTTTCCAAATTCAAACTTCTAAATAATGGAGTTCAAGCACCCATTCTTGACAAATTTTCTTTAAACGCTTTTTGCAACCTTCAAAAAATTGAAATAATTTAATTCCTTTAAAACAAGCTAATCCACTCCAACACCATCCAAATATGAAGGAGTGTTTGTCGCACTTTTAGTTCATTACTTTGAAAAACTCCCTCTCTTGATGCAACTCTATCTTTTGAGCAATGAAAGTCAACACTCATATGACCAATACAAAAATATTTCCATCTCGGGTTTTTCTTTCACCATCAGCGTGCATTTAGATTCCTCACATTCAACTTTACTCAGAGTAGACATACCTGATGTTTCGCCCCATTTGAACCGCTGGACAGGAATTAATAAGTACACAGAGAGAAGTTTCAACACAAAAGTTTTGTTGATACGGGAATTAAAACACAAATTAACCCTAGCCTTAAGTTGACAATTTCAAGAGAAAATGCCAGCTAGTTTTTTTTTAAAACATTTATTAAAAAACGAGTGGCAAACATTAACGTCGCAAGCGGATGAATGCATTTTCCCAGTCTATCCATTGTATTCTGCGCTAAAGTCACCGCAGACTGTAAGAAAGTTAACACAAAATTTGTGTTGGTTTGTCTTTCACTCAATACATTAACCAAAAGTAACACAAGAACACAAATATTTTTATCAGTGTGCTAACGGGAACAGTGTGTTCGGAGGGAATATCTGCCCTTGAGGAGAGGACACAATGGGTTGACCCTTAGTCGGAAAGCAAGTATTGGCCAGAATGACAGAATTAGGTCCTCGGGGGGTGCAGGGAACAGGACACCCACCCACTGCAGGCTGAGGCCGTGAGGCTACAAACTGTACGACTTGTGGTATCTGATCGCGTGGGCTACACTGATTGTCCTGGATACACTGATTGTTCCGCGGCAAGGCCACCACCAACGGTGGTGAAGGACCGCCGGGCGATGTCCTGCAACACTGATTGTCATATCCTCCACATGCTAGGTTCCGCGCAAGCTCCCCGATTTGACAGGCCATGTTAGATGGCTCGCAATTTCCCACGCTCCCGATGACGTTGTTGTACTGGTTGAAAATTAACTGGTTGTGCAGGTTCAACTGGTCTCTCCCGCCATCGTTCGAGTCCAGGTCATCACACTGATTTCTCAGCAGAGTTAAACGTCGGTTGACCTGACAGTTTTCACCTTGATTGCTTATGGCCTGGCAGTCATCGATCTGACAGCTAGGTTGACGACTTGGTGGACAGTTGCATCGACAGATTTCACCTTCGCCGTAGGGGCCACCGAACTGATAACCATCCCCGAGTCCTTGTTTCTCCTGGCTGTAGCAGCAAGATCCAAACTGGTAGTCTTGGGTGTATTTTGCCCCGCTGCAGCCGCACGGATACTGACCTCCCGTGGTTTTGTCACTGTCGTAACAGGTATCGCACACGATGACTTTAGTTTGGGTGTCCTGGTCCATCTCCTCGCGACAGACCATGTTCGGGGTTCCGAGCAAGTTGGAACACTGCCCACTCGGTCTCCCATTTCTTTGACCACAATTGCCCTCATAGCTGATTGGCGTGTAGCTATTGATGGTTCCAACACATTCAACATTGGGGGTGGAAACGAAGCAAGGGCTCTGGTAATTGTATCCGGTCTGGGGATGGACTCCGATCTGGGGATAGCCTCTGATCTGGGAGTTACATCCTCCTCCCAAGGTGCAATAGCCACCATCCCAGGAGTTGCAACCTCGAATCTCCGACGTGAAGCCCCCGGTCGAGATGTCATACCCTTCGTCCGGCGGAATGCACCCTTCTACGTGGGAGGTGTATCCGCCATTCTGACAGTTACATCCTACTCTCTGACTTTGTGTCAGCATGAGTGGGACGTCAGGAAGCGGGGCTCCGCTCCGTTCGTAATTGGAGGAGTCATAGTTCCGACAGTACCCGGACCCGCGTAAGTCGCTGTTCCGTTCCCTTCGCCTTCTCGCGTTGTTCAGAAACTCTGGACCAAAACTCAAGGTCTTGCCTTCGTAATTGGAGGGGTCATAGTTCTGATAGCACCCGGGCCCGCGTAAGTCGCTGTTCCGTTCCCTTCGCCTTCTCGCGTTGTTCAGAAACTCGGGACCCAAGCTCAAGGTCTTAGTCATGCAAGAAACTCCTGAAGAAATCGATTTAATTATGTCTTTGATTAGACCACCCGTACCAGCTCTGCAGTATGGAACACAAAAAACACAGAAGAAAATAAAATACTTTATGTTCCACATGATTTTGCATAAATATTTCAGTGAAAGCTTTAGATCGGTCCTGCATACATGGAAAAGAAGTAACTAATTCGTTCGATTTTTGTCATGCTTTTATGTAGCCTCTGTTGATTTCTCCCTTTGTCGAACTAAATATGCGCAACTTTAAAAGTTTAACCTCATACCTGAGAGACTTAATCTTGAGTGCTCTGTTGCCTACCAGGTGTTCTGGTGCGTCTAAAAATCCTCAACATATTTTCTAGGATCGCATCGGCAAATGTGATGTTGGATTTTTTTTCCTTTGAAGATCAACAGTGTGTGTAGAGAGTGATTCGAGGACTGTGAGCTTGTCGATAAAAAAGTACGTTGCATTCGAATGTTACAAAGGAAAAATGATGAAAGAATCCACGAAAGTTCATCGACCGAGGACAAAGCGGGCGGGTTACATTTGCCCAAGTTCTCTCATTGCCTCGCCTCGGGCGATAAAAATTCTCAACACGCCGGTGAAGCTAGGCGCCGAGTGACGAAAGAAGCGACGCAGTAACTCAACACATGGACCAAGAGGCCGCAAGGCCTCTCCATTTACGGCCTCTGGCATTTCGTGAACAATTTTATGCAAAAAATGCCCAGAAATGTTGGCACGTGTCAAAGTTGTGACGGTTTAAAATTAGAATTTTCAAAACTTTAGTTTTTACAAATAATTATTTAAAGTTATTGGTTCCCATGTTTGAGACTTAAATTTGTCAAATTGGTGCAAGTTTCCCTATGTCGCGCGTCGAATAAATATGAATTAAGTAGCTCGTAAATGAATGTTTGGCATATACTGTGGAACGTTTCCCGTTAAACAGTCAGATTAGATTTTTGGACCCGACAAGGCAAACTTAAAAATTTGCTCCGTCTATTAAGTTAGGCCCCTTTCCTCGTGGTTGCAGATAATGAAAGAGTCTTCTGCAAAGTTGTAAAAACCGTGTTGAAAGTTCAAGTTTGAAGCAGGAGAGGGAAAATCGAAGACGTCAAAAAGTAGAGTGATCGTTGACGCCATCGGAAAAAGTAAAATTGCTTACGTAAAAAGCTTTAAGTGACAGGAAATTCAAACAAGACTAGCGCAATTTGCGTCGTTCTCCAGGAATTTTTGAGGAATGGTGCTCTATGTAATGCGATTCATTTTTAACTCTAAGTCTTTAAATGGGAATGGCATGATCAGGTATTTTTGCTCTCTATAATTCAGCTCCGGTATGTCGGTCGTTCTTCGTTTATCTCTCAAATTTTTTCAATATCTTACCCATGTTTCTGGGAATCATTTACGAAGTCTACTCCGAAAAAACTTCTCAACTGTCAAAAGGGTTTTTAGATGTCAAACGTTTCTACGCCTTACGAAAAAATGACATCGTACGACACAAAAAAGGGGGAAAATGAGAAAAATGTGTCAAGTATGACGTTATTTTCTCCGTCTGATTTTACGCGGCTGAATATGAAAGTGATCCCCGTTTTTTTCCATTCCGTCATTGAAAATACGATAATTCTCGGAAGATCATTTTTTTTCTCGAGAAAAAACACGTGTTCCGATTTAGGCACCAACCGGAATTGCACGTGCGACTACCGTGCTATTGTTAGCTTTCCCACCATTTCCTAATCCCCAAATGTTACCTGGCATGCATTTGCCTCTTTTTCTTTTCCTATATTCTTACTTTTAAAGAAAGTTCATCGGTAGCGATAAAAGTGAAGTCGAATAAATGAATTTATTTGAATTTAATGTTTACAAAAGAAATTTTCTTAAAATTAGGAAAGTGTGCGTTCCAAAGGATTAATCCTTCGGCGTTTTTGGGGGCGTTCCTATATGCTGCACTGAAAATTATGAGATTTTAGCATGAGTTATTTTCCCTTGCCTGTATCATATGTATTGCTATAAGGATCGAGCGAAATTCGATTCTCGGCGCACGAATCAGGCTTTCCGCGTTGGAACTTCATCCAAAAAGTTCTAACAATCTGAGCCGTAGTACGTATCTGTCAGTGGCGTGGCGTGAATTGCGATGTATCGATTGTTGTGCCATTTAAACCTATGAAAAAAGATCGATTATCAGGGTGTTCGCAGCGAACACCTTAATAATCGATTCTTTACCATAGTTTCAAATGGCGAGATATCGATAATCGATTGCTCACGCCACGCCACTGGTATCTGTACATGATTATGCTGTTTCTAGGGACTTTTTCAAAATTTACGAAGATGATATCCCTGAATATAGCTCTAAAGCCAATGAAAACGCACCAGGGACGGAAAGAAAAAAGAAAGCGTTCAATTCAAAATCCCATACATTGATTCCAGATTCCACTTACTTTCCCTGGTAAAAATTGGCGATAAGAGCTGCGTTTCAAAATACCATAGGAATTTTTATAGCCGGCTAAAGAGGGCTACAGAAAATCATATAGCTGGCTGTAAAATGCGGAGAAAATCATACGGCCGGGCTATACGAAGCGATAAAAAATTATGCAGCCGGGCTATAGTTCCTATAGCCGGGCTTTATACTTTATCGTCTGGCTGTTGCTTTTTTGCCATCGATTATAAAAGGCTATAAGAAATTGTGTAGAAATTCGTGTGCTTTGGAAATCATTAAGTTTGATACGAAACCACCTTAATATTTACAAAACACACGCTATATTTTCTTTTAATACATATTTTTTTTCATCAATTAAAACGAGAATAATCCATACAGAATGTGCAAACATTTCAAAATCATGAGTTGAAAAACGCTGACTCCGCCAGATTAACCCTAGTCTGCCTGAGTGGGGTCAGATTGACCCCACGGGAGTTTCAACTCTTTGCCATTTCTTGTGGTACGCACGAAATTTTTTGTCCTTCACAAATAGCTCTACAAAAACATCTAGGAACACGATTTTGAAGGGAAAAAAAACAACAAAAAAATGTGCATGAGAGATCAAAAAATTCACGAGTACCCCTAGAAAGCCTGAGCGGGGTCAGATATTCTTATAACATATATTTTAGCATTTAGCATCACAAAAGCTTACTTTGAAGGTGTATTCATGTTTCTCTTTTTAATTTTTTTTCAGAACCTTATAAAACAAGCAAAATTTTTCAGATTTTTTTTCGTTTTCAGTATTTAGTAGCCCTATGATTTTTTTTTCTCATGCTGAGAACAACATGACAACATGTGTATGATAAAATGGTTGCATACCCTGCGCCGTGTTTTTTTTAAAATTTAGATATGCTTTATGGTTAAGAGCTGTAAGGCTAGTGCACTAATATAAACTAAAAACATGAAAAAAACATAGCTAACTAATTGATTTTCAGCTGGGGTCAAATTGACCCCGCTCAAGCTTTCTCGTTGGTTCAGAGGCTCAGGCAGACTAGGGTTAAATATTAGAGCCTAACACAAAGCGGATCGGCGACGCACTAGCGCCTACAAACCTAACGGGGATACTTCACGCATTGCGCAACGCGTGAAGTATCCCTGTTAGGTTTGTAGGCGCCAATGCGCGTTCCGCGCTGGCTGCCCGCCTGCCGCACCGCAGCATGCCACGGTGCTTGAAGCAACTATTTCACACCAGAGCTATTGCACAGTATCATACGAAACTGAAGGCGCTCTAATATATTAGGAATGGCAGGCATCCATCAAAAGCACGGAGCTTTCCTCGCAAAATAAATCAAGATACTACGGCCCAAAAAGAGAGCAGTGGTCCAAAAATTCACCAAGTCCTAGCATCCGTAATTAGTGACGTTTAGCATACACTTTATCGCCTGGCTGTGAGTTTCTTAATTGCCATCGGCTATAAAAAGCTGTAAGAAATTGTGCAGCCGGCTATAGAAGCTATTGGAAATCTTACAGCCGGCCGTAGGTCTATGGTATATTGGAACACAGATTCTACTGCCAATGTTTACCAAGGTTTCTGACAATGTCAATGTTTCTAATAATGTCACTGTTATGATAAAAAATAGGTCCGGACAACAATGCTGCATCGTCACCGGGGCCAAATAATTGTTATCACAAAAATAATGTGACTACGATAAGAGAAGAGGGTGGGACCTGAGATTTACTATGAGCATAGTAAAAGGATCGATTCCTATTTTTCTGTGGGTGAAACTGCGGAACCATGTACGGCAATTTGCGCCGTTTCAGATTTTCTTTCAAATTTCATTCACTAAGATGGCTAATGATCGTTAAAGCAAAACATTTCGTGTGCTTTTTTACCCTCTCAAAAATACTCTCTGAAAATTTCGTATGAAAGGGGTTAGCAGTATTCTCTCTCCCTCTCTCTCTCCCCCTCTCTCTCCCCCTCTCTCTCTAAAAAAAAGGTTATAATACTGCACTCGATCGAAGATACGAGTTTTTGTAATTTCACCATCTCTATGTAAGGAAGATTCAAAATTCACAATCAATAAGTTTTGAAGAAAATCTTACGTAGATTCACGATGATGAGGTTTGGTTTTTGACGTACCTATTCTTGGAGCTACAGGGAGTAGCAGTGCGACGATAAAACTATTTGAGTGCTGTTCACTCTGCACCTCATTGAGCCTTGAACCGATTTTGATCTAAAATTGCCATCCCCTCGTCGGAACCCTTTAAAAAACATGGCTGTGAGACTTAAGTTATTAAACGAGCTCATCATCTTTCGCATATCATATCATTTCAGTGATGTATCAGGTAATGTATGATAGTAAAGGAGGCCATTGCTCAAAGCAGACTCCGGTTCGTTTAGCGATACATAATTGAAACGGAAAATTATCCGTTCACTTTTTCCGCGAACTTCAATCACAAGCCTGCATCGGTGTGGGTCATTGACACTCCTCGGACACTGACCAGAACTCAACGATAGCGCCAACACAGCTTAACTGGCCAGTTGGACACAGAGTGTATGCGTCTAAACGCCAGAAATCCGACACGTGAAACTAAGAAGCGGCTATTAAAGCATAACTGCTTATCGCAGCGATTTCCCAAAAATCGATACTAATTTATCGTCAAAATTCTGGCCTGGCATTGATGAGTCACAAGCGCATGGCCACGACATGCCGCGGTAAGCCGAGCGCTCAGTCGAGACGATCTCTTTCGCGTTCGCGATGTGGACAAGATGAGGTCATTCGCTACTGTCATCGGCGCGCTCTGCGGCTGCCTGCTGCTCTCATCGCTGGTCGAGGCAGGACTCTACGACCATCACCACTACCGGCATCGCTTGAAGCACCCCGTCCTCGAGAAGGTCCTCATGAGCGTCCCCAAACACGCTTTCCACAGCTACATTCAGCCATTGTTTCACCCCGGTGGTTGCGCCAAGTTCTACGAAATGCACAGCCCTAAGCACCCGAAGGTCCGTCTCGGTAAGAGCCACTTCCTCCCGTATGCCTTGGGCCTCCTCAACAAGTACGTCGGGATTGGCCATGACCTCCTCGCCCCCGGCGGCCACCTATGACCCTTTTCCTGTCGTCATAAAGGCTCATTTGTGATTTGATCGGCTCCCTTTTATTACCTCCGGATGTATGTCACTTCCTGAGGATTCTGTCACTCCAGCTCACCACACCTTATGATGCATGCGCCTTTGAGGATCACTGTCGTATAGCGCTACGCAACATTGGATACGAGATTCTTTGTATAACTGTTTTGCTTGTTTCGTCATCCTAGGATATCAAAGACTCATTTAGTCGCCATAATTGCTTCCTCAGTCTCGAGAAAAAGCATTATTTTACACAAGAGTAACCTGTGATAAATAAACGAATGTTTTCGTGTTGTAGAGAATACCATTGTTTTGTGGAGCATTTTTTACTTCCCCATGAGCTACAAAAATTGGATAAAATTCATTAAGGCTCCAAATTTACATGCATTTTTTGTTTTAGGGATTTATTTTTTTTAAAGAGTTTAAGCTGCTTCAGTTTATGATGATTTAGTCTTTCGGGATTTCGCAAAAGCTTAAACACCGGAAATTCATCTGAACCTAAATGAAGAATCAAGTAAATCAACCGACTAACATTTTTTACTCCGTGAATAGTTTGTTTTGATTTGAGAGGATACTGTTTCTTGCAGAAGTAAATTTTTAAAGCCATGTTTTTTTAGATCCATATAGATATATCGAATAGAATTACCTATTTAAAATAGGCATGCCCAATCGAGCTTTGCCGAGGGCCCACGTGCTTCGAGTGGGTGTGGGCTCTTTTCCATTAGAAGCTTTATGCTAAAAAGTCAGTATGAAGTGGTGAACAAAAAACTGTTCAGGCTTACTTAAACAATGAACTGCGGACGTTTCCCAATCTATTCGGAACTTCGAAGAGTAAATCCTTACACAGTTTCTTTTGAGGTCGAATACTAACTTACATCAAATAGTAGTCCACCAGGATAGTTGCTGAGAGTGAGGAAGGGGGTTAAAATTTTGGAATATTGTATAACATATCTAAGGTGAAACTCTCAAACCACGTACCTACCTCGATTTCCGAGTTCCAGACTTCCCGTCATACTTTACTTTTTAAATGGAAAACTACTCAACGTCAGCTCCTCAAAACTTCTGAGATATTCCTGCCGCTGTGCAGAAAACGTTTAGTGAAAACTTCACGGAATGATACTGATTTCTTGAACAAAGCAATATGATTCCTCGAAGTTTCCGCAGAATTTTCTGAGTGCAGAGAAGAAAAATCATGAAAGTTTTAAGGAATTGACGCTCAGTAGTTTTCGATTTAAAAAATGGAGAATGGCAGGAAGTCTGCAACCGTCGCAAACCGATCGACGTGCTTAGGAGTTTCACCGTCGATTTGTTCTCCTTTACAAATATTAAATGGGAGTGGAGATTCTTAAACACCGCGATCAAGATCCGTGGTTTGGTAGCATCTCAAAATAGTATACCATTTTGTTTACTGCGTAAACCTCTAATTTCTCCCGCCTTCAGTAGTCTCAACAATACAGTGAAGAAAAAGAGGAAAAGGCCAAGTATAGGATCTTGAACATCGCAGTCAAAGGAGACACAGTCCCCACTGATCCGATCCTTCGTTCCTTCAGCTATTTGCTAAAATTCTCCTATCGAAGTGACCCAATCTACCCCCCCCCCCCCCCCCCCCCCCTCACGCCCCCCAAAAAAAACTTGAAATGTCTTCCTTTTGAATTTTGCTCCTCTTCTAAACACGCTCGCAGTCTTTGGCCACTGAGGATTGGTCGATTTTAACCCATATATGTTCAAGTATTCCTTCCCTCCAAAATCGTTCAATCATTTCTACCCAAAAATCCTCTGTCAAACTTTCGAGGTATAAGAAATACAAATATGCAAAAACATTCCAGTCTCATGAAATGGATTTGGAAAAAATCCTCCCTCCTCCTCCAATAATATGAATGAAAGTTGTTTTTTTTTTTTTTTTTTAAATGGAGTATTTACCTAATTTCGAACTTCTCTTAATTAAATTTTGAAAATTAAGTTCTATAATTTTGCATCATACGTCTTAGTATTTACCACTCTTTACAAGTGGTAGCTTGGATTTGCCTTGGAGTGTAGGTTTAAATTAAGATTTTACAAATAGGTACTACATTGATTTAAGAATCTCAAGAAACAAGTTTCAAAAAAAGCGTAACATCGGGAAGAGACATCATCTTGCCATTGTGCTTTTAGCAGACTACTTCATATAATAGAGAGAGCAATTTTCTTTTAAAAAATCCGATTGATACATGCCGCCACTTTCGTTTTTAAATCTCTAGTTGACGGGGAAAGAGAGGAGGATGATTTAAACTCACCCCAATCTGTAATTGAGGGGCTTGGAGGACAAGACGCATAGGTACAGTTTTTGAAAAAATTAATATGTTGATGATTTCAAGTAAAACTAGTCTAAATGCATATCCTGTGAAAAATTCGCTCCCAAATTCCAATTTTTAAGCATCAAAATGTCAGTTTGAACTTTCTTTCCACCACATGGATCCATGTAATTTTGAAACTTCTAACACGTATTTCACGAAGTAGCAAAAATTAAACTCATGCGCCTTGTCCTCCAAACCCTCGATTGAAACATACGTGGTATTTAAGATTTCCTATCCTAAAGAGGAAAAATATTATTTCAAATTAAACCTCTCACTCATTACCTGAAAATGCAAATATTTGTTGTACTGACCCGATAGTCAAGAGACATTCAACACACTGAAAATATAGGCACAGCAAACAATAATATTATCATACGGACAAATTACAATAATATTACCATACGGACGAATACTGTAGCATTACTGCGCGGAGTGTGGCCAAAGTCGTGCGAAAATTTTAAGAGTATTTTTTTAAAGAAAAACAAGGCTCCGCGCTCCGATCATTATATGGATTACATTTTGCAATAAGGAACCACTATCTCTGGCTCTTCCATAAAAGAACCTTTCTGCATAGGAAAACCAATGGCATATATGGTGTTTCTAAAATGAGTCAAAAATAGTGGTTCCCTATTGCAAAATGTAATCCTATATTCTGCGATCAACGACCATCCACAACTTACTTAAGGCATCATTGGAGAAGCGGGTCCCTCTAAGTATGGATTGCTTCAATTTCTATCTAGAATTCATAAGGATTACGATGTCAGACGTGACATGCACATTTTTCCTACGAATTTACTTCGCATCGTGCGCACGCCACACAAAATGTCCGATAAAGCAATGATACGGCAAAAAACAAAAAATAAAACAATTCGGAATAGAAATCCCGCGCATGAAGAAACACCTCAGTTGAACCATTGCCTGATAAAACTTATGAATTTTATTGCCATAACCACACGCCGCCGTAATACATTTCATGAAGAGAGAGCTGCGTACTTGTAAATGTCATTTCATTCCACTAAAACATGACTTCTCGGAAAAAAATTCTAAGAAGCCGTTTGATTTTTCCTCTTGCTGAGAATGATTTCATGTTCCTTTTCTCTCCTCACTATTTTTGAAGAGATACTTTTCCAGGAAAGAGCGTTTAGTTACAGGTTCTTTTTCACATAAATAAAAGCTATTCGTTGACCTTTTGAGCAGACATTCGTACTTCCTCTTTTTTAAGTGACTCGAGAATACCTCTAGAAAGAAATAGTCGAAAATGAGAACACTACCGGTAACTTTAATTTTTTCTTTGGCTCTTTCCATTGCTCATGGAAGCGGTTGTTCCTGTTCGACGGGCTGTTCAATATGCGGAGTCCAGAGCAGTCCTTGCCAGAACCCTGATTCCTGCTGCAGTCCTCAAATTGGCAACTCTTGTAATTCAGTTCCCAAAAGCTGCGTTTATGATGAATACAGACTGCCGTACGCCTCAGGATTTTACCCTTATAAGGGCTGCAACTGTGAGGGCGAATGCAACAGCTGTAACCGAGAATCATCTTGCAACACAGGTTGCAACGCGATTAATACCTGCAACTCTTGCATCCAGCCCACGACATTCAACGCATGTTTCCAGACCTGCAATACATGTAACAACGTCTGTGGAGACTGCTATGACAGCCAATGTGGCTGCGGTGGCGGTCAATGTGGTTGCGGTGGAGGTCAATGTGGTTGCGGTGGTGATCAATGTACCTGCTGTGGTGATCAATGTAGCTGCTGTGGTGGGTGCGGCAAAGGACTCTGCAGGCGAAGCAAATGCTCCAAGTGCCGTAAGAACCGATGCAAAAGCCGCAATCAATGTTTCGATTTGAACCGTTGTTGCATCCAGTCTAAATTGGCAACAAAGAAACTTCTCAAACTCTTACCGTTGCTTGTCGATCTCATTCAGAAGAGCAGTTACGATGGTTGTAATCTTTGCTGTTGAAGACAGTACCTACATTAATATTTCTTTGCTACTATCATGTGTTCGATTAAAATAAAGTTTTGGTCCCGTTCAATTCACATCCATCTTTTTTCTTATTCTAGGGCTGCAATGTTACATTAGTTACTGCGTTGGTTTTTATAGGTATTCCTTCTGACGATTTCAAATCATGATAATTGATTGTTTATGGGTGCTCTTACTATAATAAATGGGTTATTTCAAATGTGCAATGACTCAAAAATAAAAGTACACCAACTTTAAAAAAATTTCATAATGTCATTGCTTACTATTGAAATAAACAGCAAAATGATACTAGTGATTTTGAAATTGGATGCATGGGAATAAGAGAAGGAAGAATGACCGATTCCTAGTCCCGCTATATGAACTTCGCATTTTCGATGTTTGGTAACGGACTTATTATCATAGGGGTTGGGTCGTTTTTTCAGTTACATCCATGTTCTTGATATATCTGATATATCAACGGTAAGACTGCAAAAACTCGGTTGCGATGTTTCAAAATCTCCGCTTTTATTTTATTTTTTAAAAAAGTCCAAACCAACATCATGGTTTAAACTCAAGGAATGTGCTGCATATCAACGGTGTAAGTCGGCAATCACATAACTCGTTTGCGGCGTCTGAAAATCTCCGCTTCTATGTTATTTTTTTAAAGGAGAACAAATTGACATCATTCCTTGAAATTTATGCAGACTTTTCTTATGCAGACAGAGAAGAAAAGTCACGGCAGTTTTAAAGAATTGCTGTTGAGTTGTTTTCCGTTTAAAAAATAAAGTATGACAGGAAGTCTACGACGTCGCAAACCGAGTTATGTGACTGCCGACTTACACCGTCGATATAAATCATGAAAAATCGAAGTGTTCAAGAAATTACTTTTAGTAGTTTCTCATATAGAAAATAAAGTATGAAATGAAGTCTACAAACCGGGATACGCGGATCTACAGTTTAACAATCGATATATTATAGATATTACATTGTTATGTATTGCTTACCTGTTATTAATTGACATTGTCAAAATGGATATATAAATTGTTGTCTTAAAACATGTAGAAGATTCCACTATTAGAGGCCAGGTTAGGGCTGTTGTACGAATTTTTTCTAATGAACTTTAGAATCACTTTTTTTTTTGTTAATCACTAAGAAAGTTAAAAAATGAGAATGCTTGCATAAGTCCGTTCTTCATTTCATTAATTTTAGCGGGGAAAAAGACTTTCAGAGTAGCCCAACGTTAATTTGGAACAGGTTTCTGTTTCGAATTGAGAAATATCGCTCCATTTTCTACTTAATGGCATCACAGGAAAAAATTGACCGCAGTGGCGCGCCGTGTATCATACTGACTGGTACATTAGAATACACTGATCTAAGACGTCAAATTAGAATGGAGTAAAAACTATCGATTTTGAAAATAAAATGTCTTAATTTATGGATTGCTCATCTTCTACTTTGTGTAATGGAAGAATTTAGAAATGAAATATTTTAAAACGAAGCCTTAAAAGAAACGCAGAAAAAAGAGAAGAAAAATAGAATAAAATAAATGCACGCTAATGCCTGAGTAAAGCTTAATGAGGCAAATCAAAACAGACGAGTCAGTTCGTAAAACGTGCTAAGCAACAAAAAAAAAAGGCTTTTTAAATAACAATAACAAAGTTAACAAAGAACACATTTTCGTTTTACACGAGATAACATAAAAATAATTATTGGAAATGAGTCATGGTTACTATACATTGAGTCATTCAGGTACGATTGATTCACTTTAAAATATTGTTAAATAGCGAACCAGGGCCGAATGGACCACTAGACAAGGTACAAATTTAAGCGATCCGATACATGTTTCTTAACCAACATTTCACGTAGAAAACGATTCACACAAAGAAAATTACTGAAACCAACTCCTAACGAAGATACTAACGTTTTTATTTCACATTGGTTACGAGGAATTTGAACTGCCCGCTCACAAGAAACTCAAAGCTCTACGTGAGTCAAATCGCCCACTACAACGGTTTCAGCAAGCCTCTCAATCGAGCAATGTTCATTTCCCACCATGTGTTGTTCAAACTATTAGCAATTTGCTATAACTGAGCCAAAGCGTCAAGATTGAGGTTGCGAGATTTTTATATCGCAAAGACCGTCATGATCACGTTTAGCGCGCGATGTGAATCACGTAGAGCATTGAGTTTTCATGAGCGGGTGGTTTGAATTTACGCATCAAGAATCATTAAATATCTTCGTAAGGAGTTAATTTCGGTGATTTTCGTTGTGCGCATCGTGTTCTACGTAAAATTTTGGTTAAAAAACATGTATCAGAATGCTGAAATTCATACCTTATTTAGTGGTTCATTAAGGGGGTGGCCACATGGGTCGCGGCCTATGGCGGCAAAATGTAGAGGGCGGAAAATTTTGCAATCTTTTTGAATGTAGGTATCAAAAAAAGAGAGAAAAAAATGGATTCAGAAAATAAATTACAAACGAGGAAAGGCGACAAAATCTCTCATTTCCTGAGAGTGCAAGTATTGTAACTTCTAATGTTGTCGTCTTTCGGTGATACAAGAGACAACACCTCTAATTTGTCGAGTTAAGAGAGAAACCAAACACGCAATTTGACCGGAGCGGCGCGGCGGTCGGCATGAAACGGATAGCGCCTAAGAGACTGCATGAATACTTCACGCATTGCGTCTAACACACTGCGGTCAGCAGCAGTCGGCTCGAAACGCATAGCGCCTACAAGACTGCATGAATACTTCACGCATTGCGCCATCACAGTGCGGTCGGGCAGCGGCGGAAGTTAAAATTATTAACCACATTTATGTTTGTTCCTTCATAAGTTTTTCGTTCGTTTTTTATAAATGGAAGGCCTTGTTTAAATAGGGATGGATTTACGGAACTAAACGTTTGTTACTGCTGACAGGGCTTTCACAAAAAATGTGCGCAACACGAGTAAACGCGTCTCATACACCCCTCCTCCACCGGCACGTTCACTTGATGGTTTTTATAGATCGTATTCGACAGATCACACAGGTGAGATTATATTGATATCGATTGGTTCAATATGTAACCACAGCCTTAAAAGTCAATTTAGAAATCCGAGGTAACGGGTGTTATGTGATCGAATTTTTATTCTCTCGAGTACCAAATGACAATGAAAAGTGGAATTGTTAGGAATTTTATCATATTCAGCTTTTCCCAATTAAATTCTAAAATTTTTGTTTGAGGTTATGTTCTATTCTTTTGAAACAAACGATACATCGAACCACTGTTGAGTACGATCTATTGATGTTTCAAAACGAATGAGAAGGGGACGGAAAAATACAGGCGGCCCATGGGCGGCAAGTAGGTAAATCCGGCCCTGTTGCAAACAAAGTCGAACTGCAATTCCCTCAGAAGTTGCTAAGGGAATGAAAAGCTGGAGCGGGATAGGACAGGTGCTTCCGGAATTGATAAACATTCACGCTCCCCGGCATGTTAATGGCTATGTGGCGAACGAGAAGGTGAGCTTCAAATTATTCGTGCATGACATCGTTCAATCCAATCTTACGC